TTATTATTATTAGTATTAGTATTATTATTATTAATGGGCCAGTGGTTGCCATGAACTTTTAAGATCAGTGCTAGACCAAAACAGGGCAGAGTCCCATGAAAGGAAAGCAAGCATTCCCATGGGACTGAAGTCTTTTCCTCTCTAGGGGAGGAGGTGTTTGTTTACCTTTCATTGAACTGTGTTTCTGAGTTTTCCAAACGCTTCAGCGTTAGTGTGCTGGTACGGCTGTACCAGGAGCTCCAAATTTATTTGCTTTGTATTAAATGTTTGTTTGCAGTCCTAGATTTCAGGGACTCTGCAGATAGGTGGCTTCTTTGGTTGCAGTCATAGGGCAAGTCACCTGTCCATCATCATTAAGTTTTGGTTCCGCCCCTTGCTCAGGGCAATTGGGAAGGGAAGGGAGCCATTTTTAGTTAGTCTCAGCAAGGAAAGCTAATGTACAGGACGTGTGCAAGCTTCCCCTGTACAAAAGCTTTAACCCTTAAGACTTTCCGGGAGGAAACAGACTTTCCGGGGGAGAACAGTCTTAAGAATCTCCAAAGATTTCCAGGAAAACAGCCCTAAAGACCAAAGAACTCCAGCTGGAGAATATCTAAGCCTTTACTGGTAGGTCCACTCGGTGCTTCGAGACGCAGTTCGACCCGGTAGCAGAGCCCACATCAGTAAGGGTTAGATTACAGCCAGCCTGGGAGAAGTTAAAAAGGGGATTTTCCATTTAAAGTAAAGAAGAAGTTATTGAAGACAGTTGCCTGTCCTTTGTGGGCAAGTTTAGGAAGCCACCAGTTGCATAAAAGCTTGGAAGCATTTGTTTAACTTTATTGAAGACAAGAAAAGTTTCTGTTTGATTGTTCATTAATAAAGGACTTTGTTATACTTCACAAGCCATCTAAAGACCATTTGTGGTGGAAAATCTCTGAGAACTTCTCCTTGGGCCCTCTGGCTTCCCGCTGGGCAAAGGTTGCATGTCCTGTTCTAAAGGAAATTCTTTACAGGCCCAGCGCTTGACAGAACAGTTAGCCCTGTCCTAACAAGTGGTCTTAAATCCCAGTTTTATGTGGTCAGCTTCCCCCAAGTCGTGCAGTCTTTGAACCAATGGATTCAACTTGAAGGAAAAGAAATTCCACCTAAACATTAGAAAGAATTTTCTGACCGTTGAGCTGTTCTCCAGTGGAAACATAGAGCCTCGCAGGGTGACCGACTCTCCTTCTCGGGAGGTTTTGTCGAAGGCTTTCATGGCCGGAATCACTCAGTTCTTGTGGGTTTTTTCGGGCTATATGGCCATGTTCTAGAGGCATTTCTCCTGACGTTTCGCCTGCATCTATGGCAAGCCTCCTCAGAGGTGAGGTCACACTCTGAGGATGCTTGCCATAGATGCAGGCGAAACGTCAGGAGAAATGCCTCTAGAACATGGCCATATAGCCCGAAAAAACCCACAAGAACTGAGTGATTCCAGCCATGAAAGCCTTCGACAATACATTGAGACAGCCAACTGTTAGGAGTGTATTTCTGTGATCAACTTCAGGCAGACATTTACCACAGAGTCATGCTAGAAGGCGAAGAGATTCCTGTAGAGGTGTTTTCTCAGGTAATTCATAGTATTTCACTTTCAGGGGGATCCTTATGCCTCCAAACAAATGAGGAAAACTGACCGTAGTTCTAGCAATTTCGATTCCAACATTTTTTCCTGTTATTGGACAATGCAATGGAAAGCTCTGGCTTTCCAAGAATAGCAACTAATAACCATAGCTCTGGGATGCTAGAACCCAACTAATAATTAGCATACCCAGATATCTCAAACGTCAGTGATCTTTAACCAATCAAATGTGCTTAACGGGAAAACTGACCTACAATTTAGTAGTGGCTTTCACCTCCTCTGCCTTTCCAAGCCGATCCAAGACAGGAGAGAAAGAAAAATAACAGCGAAGCAAAAGGAATTTCCACCCTGCCTGCCGTCTGCTGTTTGGTCAACCTAAATAATCACTTTTAAAAACAGATGTGTATGATCATTGGTAGTTTTGAAACGGACTTGCCTCTATTTCAGGAAAGACCACAGACTGACAAGCAGTAATTGTAAGGAGACGTTTCCAGTTCTCATCGTTGAACTATATAAAGCAGCAAGAAGTGACATGGAAAGACCTTCTGAATGTGAGAGCTTTGGAAGAAAGCTTTGTAATGGATCTGGATGGGAAGGGGATTCCAATTCATAATCTTCTCATTTTCAGATAGTCTTAGAGTAGAGTTCATAGAGTAAAGAATCGTTATTTTCTTCAAAATACAGGAAACTCGCTTGATGTGTGTGTGTGTGTGTGTATAATGCTCTGTGAGTAATGAGTACCTTAAAAACAAAAGACCCAATGAACAAAATCACACCAAATTTGGCAACAAAACGTCTCACAACACAAGGAGTGACCATCACTCAAAAATTTATGATTTTGTCATTTGGGAGTTGTAGTTGCTGGGATTTATAGTTCACCTACAATCAAAGAGCATTCTGAACTCCATCAACGATGGAATTGAACAGGCTTGGCACACAGAATTCCCATGGCCAACAGAAAACACTAAAAGGGTTTGGTGGGCATTGACCTTGAGTTTGGGAGTTGTAGTTCTATTCTGTCGCGCGCTGGGCCTGTAAATAATATCCTTTAGAACAGGATGTGCAACCTTTGCCCAGCGGGAAGCCAGGGGGCCCGAGGAGAAGTTCTCAAAGGTTTTCCACCACAAATTTTCTTTAGATGGCTTGTGAAGTATAACAGTTTTTTATTAATGAACAATCAAACAGAAACTTCTCTTGTCTTCAGAAAGTTAAACAAATGCTTCCAAGCTTTATGCAACTGGTGACTTCCTAATCTTGTCCACAAAGGACAGGAAACTGTCTTCAATAACTTCTTCTTTACTTTAAATGGAAAATCCTCTTTTTAACTTCTCCCAGGCTGACTGTAATCTAACTCTTACTCATGTGGGCTCCGCTACCGGGTCGAACTGCATCTCGAAGCATCGAGTGGACCTACCAGTAAAGGCTTGGATGTTCTCCAGCTGGAGTTCTTTGGTCTTCAGGGCTGTTTTCCTGGAAATCTTTGGAGACTCTTAAGACTGCTTTCTCCCGGAAAGTCTTAAGGGTTGAAGCTTTTGTACAGGGGAAGCTTGCACACGTCCTGTACATTAGCTTTCCTTGCTGAGACTAACAAAAATGGCTCCCTTCCCTTCCCAATTGTCCTGAGTAAGGGGCGGGACCAAAACTTACAATGATGGACTTGCCCTATGACTGCAACCAAAGGAAGCCACCTTGCTGCAGAGTCCCTGAAACCTTGGAGTGCAAGCAAACATTTAATACAAAGCAAATAAAATTGGAGCTCCTGGTACAGCCGTACCAGCACAAGTTCACCTACATCCAGGGAGCACTGTGGACTCAAAACAATGATGGATCTGGACCAAACTTGGCACAAATATTCCATATGCCCAAATATGAACACAGATGGAGTTTGGGGGAAATACGCCTTGTCATTTGGGAGTTGTAGTTACTGGGTTTTTTAGTTCACCTACAATCAAAGACCATTCTGAATGAACCCCACGAACGACAGAACTGGGGCAGACTTCCCACACAGAATCCCCATACTTAAGGCCCGTCCAGTCCAACTCCCTTCACCAGGGCAAGAAAACGTAATCAAAGCCCTCCTGACAGAGAGCTATCCATCCATAGATATAGATATATATGATTTACATACATATAGTATCATAGATTTGAAAAGGACCCCTAAAGAAGGACAATGATATGTTGCATATTCCAGAATAGGCAAGCCAGACACTCCCCACATCAACACTGACAAACAAACAACAAGAAATACTATTTACCCACAAACATAAAGAAATTACATATATTGGAAACCAACATTTCCTCATTTTCCAGATCACCAGACTGGGCCACAGCAACGCGTGGCAAAGGACAGCTATGGTGTGTGTGTATGTGTGTGTGTGTGTGTGTGTATTTCACCTTCATTTTGGAAGCAGTACAGCCTCAGGAGAGCTGAACCTCACAATTCTTCCCAAACGTATACACAGAGGCGGGCCTAGGAAATTTTCAATGGTAAGCAAACAGTATTTTACCCCCCCCCCCACCCCAACCAATCACTGATATATATTTTCTGTTCATTGTGGGGGTTCTGTGTGCCATATTTGGTTCAATTCCATCATTGGTGGAGTTCAGAATGCTCTTTGATTTTAGGTGAACTATACATCCCAGTAACTATAACTCGCATATGTCAAGGTCTATTTTCCCCCAAGAGTGTCTGAAGAGCGCCCCTGGGCAAAATGAACTATACTGCAAATGCTTACTTTGCGTAATGGGTTGAGCCGCCCCTGCGTGTACATCATCTTTCCTTGATCGCCTCATTCCTTCATCACAGACACTCAACACCCGACCCCCAAGTCTTAATCAAACACCCAGATTTTCATGAAAGGTTTCCTAAACTATAATTTAAGAATTTTAATAAAGTATTTCTAATTGAATGCTAGTTGTGGGCACAACATCAAAGGCATAAAAGTGCATTAAAAGCAGGGACTTGGCTTTAGGTGTCCATCATGCAATAAATGTCTTTTGAAAGGGATTTCGTTATATTTTGGGTTGCATCCTTCAAAAAGACTCTCACATTCTCATTCAACAGCTGCAAAAATTAAAGGGGATTTTGTAATGCTGGCTTTCACCCGCAACAAACAGATATTAAATTGCCTTAAAGAGATCCCAACTTCAAGCAACTCTAAGTATCATGCGTTCACTAATAAGCCATTTTGAGTCTTTGTGGTTTGACAGCAAATGTAATGCCTTGCAGCAAAGAGCCAAATTAATACATCCCCCCCCCCCCCCCCCCCCCCCCAAGAGCAGCGCTCCATTTGCTTAAATCTTGGCCCAGGTGCCAAAATTAACATTCTGGTTTCTTTTAGAGGCAGCTGTTCGTCCTCCCAGATGAAACCGAATTCTGCAAGGCCAATATTGGTAGGTCACCAACATTCGTAGCAGGCACAGAATGGAACCTGCATTGCAAAGGCTGGACTGCCTTCACTGACTACCAAACCCTTCAAAGCAAACATAGATATGCCTCAATTGACAGAGCCCATGGATTCCTGTACATTTGAAAAAGAGGCATTTTGGCCACAGAGGTATAAATGGCACAGGAATAATACAGATTGAAGGAAGAGCGTCAACAAAATGCTTATCCAAATCTACAAAATATACACATGAGAAGTGAAGCAATCAGGTCAAGAAAGCTTCCCATATTTATTTAAACAAACAAACAAACAGATAAAAAACAAACAAACAAAAAAAACCCCACAGATTTTGCAAACTTGGTAGCTGATTAAATGTCCTTTGACCAGTATCTGGCCACTTGGAGTGCCTCTGGTGTTGCCGCAAGAAGGTCCTCCATTGTGCATGTGGCAGGGCTCAGATTGCATTGCAGCAGGTGGTCAGTGGTTTGCTCTTCTCCACACTCGCATGTCGTGGATTCCACTTTGTAGCCCCATTTCTGAAGTTGGCTCTGCATCTCGTGGTGCCAGAGCGCAGTCTGTTCAGCGCCTTCCAAGTCGCCCAGTCTTCTGTGTGCCCAGGGGGGAATCTCTCATCTGGTATCACCCACGGATTGAGGTGCTGGGTTTGAGCCTGCCACTTTTGGACTCTCGCTTGCTGAGGTGTTCCAGCGAGTGTCTCTGTAGATCTAAGAAAACTATTTCTTGATTTAAGTCATTGACGTGCTGGCTGATACCCAAACAAGGGATGAGCTGGAGATGTCTCTGCCTTGGTCCTTTCACTATTGGCTGCAACTTCCCGGCGGATGTTAGGTGGTGCAATACCGGCTAAGCAGTGTAATTTCTCCAGTGGTGTAGGGCGCAGACACCCTGTGATAATGCGGCATGTCTCATTAAGAGCCACATCCACTGTTTTAGTGTGGTGAGATGTGTTCCACACTGGGCATGCATACTCAGCAGCAGAGTAGCACAGCGCAAGGGCAGATGTCTTCACTGTATCTGGTTGTGATCCCGAGGTTGTGCCAGTCAGCTTTCGTATGATATTGTTTCTAGCACCCATAAACTGCCTGAATCCCCTTGAAAGCTTCTTCCCAAATGCAACTGTGCTGTCACACACGGGGCCTGTAGCAATTGTCTATTAACAGGACGTGATCTTTATGTGCCCAGCGGGACGCCGGGGTGCTTCGGCTGAGAGGCCCTATGAATTTCCCTATACAAAGTCTTTAGAAGCTTGGAAAGTTTAACAAAGTTCTTTATTGGTGCAACAAATCAGTCAAATACTTCTTAGATCTTCAACAAATCAACCAAATATTTCTTAACTTGTCCACAATGGACAGGCAACTAGCTTCATGGACTGTTTCTTTCTTCTATGAGGGAAATGTTGCAATCCAGAGCAGGAAACGAGGCCCTAAGATAACTATCCACCACACTTGACTGTGAAAAAACAATCCTTTTTATTGAAGAAAAATGGTTACAAAATAAAGGAAAAATGCAAAGTCAAAAGCCACAGCAAAATCAGCAAACATGAATTTCCATGAACAAGATCAAAACCCAAAGCCACACTGTAAAATACTGGAACCTGTTAGCAATCCACTAACCGTACTTGATGTCCTAGAAATCTTTCAAGACGTTGACCAGGAAAACCGGGAGAACTGCCAAGGTCTTCATCAATCTAAAATGATGCCTGAACTGAGAAAGTCAGCTCGGCGGAAGGCACTTAAAGCCGAGGAATTGGTTTCGTGAAACGCCTCCCTGCTTTGAAGCTGTTGTTTGTATTTCTTTTAATCTGGAAGACCTTCGCAAGCTGAGTGATTTATTTCTGTCTTGCCAGATCTGGCCCCTTCTATTCTCATTAAGGTTCCCAGGTGCAGAAGGGAGTGAAAGGTCATGGCTTCCCTCTGAAACATTCTCATGAACACTGGTACTTTCATTTTCCAAATCTACAGAAGTTTCTTCCTCACTAATTTCAGGAGCATTGACAGCAAGAAGTACATTTTCATTAGCATCAGGAAGTACATTTTCATTAGCATCAGTAAATATATTTTCATTAGCATCAGGAGGAACAAACAGAGAATCAGGTTCAAGTTCAAACTCAGGCTGAACCCCAACAGAAAATCCTTTTGACCCTTCCCTGGGCAATCTGTCTTTTAGGCTTAGCTGGCATGGGGCCCTACTCCCGGTTCCAATTTGCTTTATGGGTACCCAAGTAGACCTTACCGGCTAAAACTCTGAAGATTTTCCAGCTGGAGTCCTTTTGATTTTTTCCACAAATGCTGTGGATCTGTTTCTTTAACCCCAACAAGGGCTGTGCTGTATTTCTTAGTAAAGCTGCGAGAATTGTCCTCCCCAGCCAAGCTTGTAAGAAACAAAGCTTTTCTACAGGAGGGAAAAACTCACACATCCTGTAGTTTGGCTTCAAACTGTAAGACTGAACAAACGGTCCCCCTTTCCCTCCTGAACTTGGGGAAAGGGGCAGTTCCAAAAGCCCCGATGATGATATACAGGCTGCTAGCCTATGACTGCAGCCTGGGGAAAGCTGCTTAACTGCAAAATGCCTGTCTAACAGAAACACGTGCAGACTAACCATGCATAGAAAAAGAAAATTTAGCTTCTGACACAGCAGTGCCAGCACAGTCACTAAAAGTGAGGGTTCTGTCTCAATGATCGTTTGCCCACTCCGCACGATAAAGTCCCTCGACTGCACAAAAACTTGAAGACAAAGGTCAACTTCAGTCCTAAAAACAAACATCAGTGACTAGTTTTCAATCCAAGCATAGCAAGAAGTGAGTGCACACTTACCATGTTCATCACAGTGAGAATGAACCTCTGAGCCGCGTCTGCTCCGTGGTACTGGACCATGTCCGAATCTGCCACCACAAGGGTTTCCACGGTGTATTCATTCATCAGCCGAATAGCATTCCTCCGTTCTCTCCAGTCGTTGGTCAGCTTGGCCTTTTTTTGCCTCTTCTTTTCTGAAAAGCAAAGGACATGGTTACGATCTCCTCTGAGAAACAAGATCCAATCTCATAATCCGTTGTTCCATGTTCCTATATTCAATACACTAGTATTGTCATTCTAGTCCGTGTCCTTTAAACTCTACAAACATCTACTGTCTGAAGGCCTGGTCCCAAAGCCATGATTTTAATTTCTTTCTGAAAGCCAGGAGGGAGAGAGCAGATCTTACCTCATTTGGGAGTGTGTTCCATAGGCGAGGGGCCACCGCCGAGAAGGCCCTGTCTCTCATCCCTGCCAGACGCATTTACGCAATTGACTAGAGCGAGAGCAGGGCCTCACTGGATGGTCTTCGATTACGAGATGGGACGTAGGTTGGATGCATTCGGACAAGTAAGCTGGGCCAGAACCGTATAGAGCTTTATAGGTCAAAACCAGCACTAGACATTTAAGCAGTTGTAGTTTGGATCTATAAACTGTGGCAGAGATACCGAGAGAGAACTGGAAAGCCCTGGTCCTTTAGCACTCTAGCTGGAGGTTAGCTGTGGAATTCAAAGAGGCACGAATGGAGGGCGAAAGGGAGAAAGGAGGTGTGTCAAGCTAACCCTTGTTGTGACCACCTTCCACCTGGTAATCAATGTCCTCACTCCAGAAGAACATGCAGGTCAAGAATAGGGCTCCACAGTCACCTACACATCTACCACCAAGACCCCTGTTGTGATGGAGTCTTCGAGTAGTGATACTACTGGGAGTATTAGGAGGGGAAGAAAAACTACTCGTGAGCAAGCCTCCGATGAGGAGCGACAGAGAAAGCGGATCAGGGAAATACTTATGGAATCCAGTGATGATGAATCATTTGAGGGCTTCGCAGGGAATAATGGGTCTGAGACTGAGGAGAGTGGTATGGCAAGTTCAGAGGATGGAGAAATGGACTGGACTAAAGTGCGGGAGGTTCAGAACGTTTGTGAAGAGCCCACAAGTAGCAACACGTTTGTGGGGTTCTCTGGTTGGCACAGTGGGGATCTGGCTGTCTTGGGGAGTTATGGGTCTGGATAGAAGATGGAGAGATTGGAGGGATCAGCAAAGGGCTTCAGCTGAAAGGAGGTCTGGTGGGGCATTGTCTGATTCCAGTTCTGAGGAGGAATTGGGGCAAGGGGTTTCAGCTGGTAACAGGGTGTCGGCTGGTTCCAGTTCGGAGGATGATTTGTGAATAAAAGTGGGGTTGGGAGATGGGGTTCCTTGCAGTCGGCAAGGTGTTGATGGGTATTTGTGTGTCCTTGAGAGCTGTTTGGGAAGACTTCTGTGGACGTAAATTTAATCCAGATTATCCATGGCTGCGGGGGTTGGAACTGTGGGGTTTTCTCTGGACTGCCTTTGTGTTGATCTTATGCATTAGCTGCTGCGCTGCCATTCTTCGTTTTGGCTCTGTGTATGACCTGGACTGGATTGTCGTGTTTGCTGCCTTCTCCTTCCTCGACCCGGATTGGATTCACGATGACAACTACATCACGTTTAGATTGAACTGGTAGATGACTTCGGCCTTGCTGTTCGACCCTTCGTATTCGCTGACGTCCTGCTGCGGATTGGAGTGCCTCTTTTTTCCTGCTGATTGCATAGCTTTAAATTTAAACCGGATTATATTCCTGTTTAATCTGGGTTATTTTCCAGGTCCTGTTTTTTGGGTTAACTGTGGGTAATACTGTGTTTCACACTGAAGAATAAGTGTTTTGAGCCTTTTTGGTTTGTTTTTGGACTCTCTTGGTTGTGAACTAATAAACTTTACTTTTACTAAATACTGGTCTGGCGCTTTAAGGGATCTGTCTTGCAACAACCCCAGACTTGGAATGCCATCCTACTCAGACATGAGTGATCGCCAATGATGGCGTTCTTGCACTACAAATAAGATATGTGCAGTTTGCATAGGAATTTGTTCTCCCCCCCCCCCCCCCCAGTAGTCTCAGGATCCATAACCGGCCCTCGGCTTAACAAGTCGGAGGAGCCCGGCAATACAATACACACATACACCCGCTGCCCTCATATGCTTGGGCCTTGCCTATGTTCTTTGTGTGGCTCTCAGGATACACCTGAGATTGAGGCCTGCCTGATACTGCACCTGCTTCCATCCCCTCCTTGCGCACATTTATGCATATCAAGCCCATCCTCTGTTAAGCTGCCTGGCAGCCGTCCGGCTCTCCTGCTTTTCTGCCTGAGGCACAAGCTATCATTGCTCCACAAAGCTCTTCTTCTCCTCGCCTTTACCCATCTTCTAAACCAGCGTTTCTCAACCTGGGGGTCAGGGACCCCTGGGGGGGTCGCGAGAGGGTATCAGAGGGGTTGCCAAAGACCATGAGAAAACAGAGCATTTTCTGTTGGTCCTGGAGGTTCTGTGTGGGAAGTTTGGCCCAATTCTATTGTTGGTGGTTCAGAATGCTCTTTGATTGTAGGTGGACTATAACTCCCAGCAACTACAACTCCCAGATGTCAAGGTCTCTATTTCCCCCAAACTCCACCAGTGTTCACATTTGGGCATATTGAGTATTCGTGCCAAGTTTGGTCCAAATCTATCATTGTTTGAGTTCACAGTGCTCTCTGTATGTAGGTGAACTACAACTCTGAAACTTACGGTCAATGCCCACCAAACCCTTCCAGTATTTGGTCTGTGTGCCAACTTTGGTTCAATTCTATCGTTGGCGGAGCTCTTTGATTGTAGATGAACTATAAATCCCAGCAACTACAACTCCTAAAATACAAAATCAATCCTTTCCCCCAACCCCACCAGTATTCAAATTTGGGCATATTGGGTATTTGTGCCAAATTTGGTCCAGTGAATGAAAATACATCCTGCATATCAGATATTTACATTACGATTCATAAAAAGGTAAAGGTAAAGATAGTCCCCTGACATTAAGTCCAGTCATGTCTGACTCTGGGGTGTGGTGCTCATCTCCATTTCTAAGCCGAAGAGCCAGCGTTGTCCATAGACACCTCCAAGGTCATGTGGCCGGCATGACTGCATGGAGCGCCGTTACCTTCCCGCTGGAGCGGTACCTATTGATCTACTCACATTTGCATGTTTTCGAACTGCTAGGTTGGCAGAAGCTAGGGCTGACAGCGGAAGCTCACGCCGCTCCCCGGAACGATTCATAACAGTAGCAAAATTACAGTTATAAAGTAACAATGAAAATAATTTTATGGTTGGGGGTCACCACAACATGAGGAACTGTATTAAGGTGTCGCGGCATTAGGAAGGTTGGGAACCACTGTTCCAAACTGAAGCAAGCAAGAAACCGCCCCGCTTTCCTCTTGAAAAATCAAACAAAAAAAAACCCTCAGAAACAAAGAGGCAAAAACCCCACACATGTTGTAAATACTCTATTGAGATAAAGATCATCCACAGAATGGGCCAAAAAAAGAGAGGATACCCTTAATGCTGAGATAATAATGAATAATAGCAATCTGTACACCGGTGGGTAAAACCTCAATAGGCTTGCCCGGGCAAAGTCCCCTCCATCCGCGCAGTTTCTGTGTGTGTTTGAAAACAGAATATAGATTATTATTGTTATTAAGCCAGAGATACAGCTCCCACTATTGCCAGAGGCTTTGGGTGGGCACCTGCAATTTCTTGTAAGGCAGTTCTTTAAAGGAGGGCTGATATCGAAGGAACAATCAAGCTTTGTATACTCTGACTGCACGCACTCTGAGACGGAGATGGAAGTGCTTGCTCTGTTTGCCATGGGACTTGGAAAGAGGGGAGCCTATGTGTGCTGGTACAGCTGTACCAGAAGCTCCCACTTTATTTGCCTTGTATTAAGTGTTTGCTTGCAGCCCAAGGCTTGGGATTCTGCAGAAGGGTGGCTTCCTGTTAAAGTTTGCAGTTATAGGGCAGGCCCCCTGTCCATCATCATTAAGTTTGGTTCCGCCCCCTGTTCAGGACAATTGTGAAGGGAAGGGAGCCATTTTCAGTCAGTCTCAGCAAGGAAAGTCAATGTACAGGACGTGTACAGACTTTCTCCTGTACAAAGGCTTCAACCCTTAAGACTTCCCGGGGAGAACAGTCTTAAGAGCATCTAAAGATTCCCAAAGGTTCCAGGGAAACAGCCTTACAGCCCTGAGGAATTTCGGAGGGAATAACAGCTTTAAACATCAAGAACTCCAGCTAAGTGACTACAGGCCTACTGGTAGGTCCACTCGGTTTTGAGACGCAGTTCAGCCCGGTAGTGGATCCACATCAGTTAGGTTTAGGATCACAGTTAGCCTGGGAGAAGTTTGGAAAGGGATTTTCCTTTAGAGTAAAAGCAACAGTTAAAAGCCACCAGTTGCACAAAGCCTGGAAGCATTTGTTTAACCTTTTGAAGACAAAAGAAGTTTCTGTTGATTGTTCACCAATAAAAGACTTTGTTATATTTCACAAGCCCTCTAGAGACTGTTTATGATGAAAATCCTTACGAATTTCTCTTCGGGCCCCCTGGCTTCCCGCTGGGCTAAAGTTGCACGTCCTGTTTTAAAAGCAATTCGTTTCAAGCCCAGCGCGCGACAGAACACTATGTTTGGGAAGGACTGCCGTACGATTCAGAAATGATTGCATAGAAGCAAATGTTGAAGCCAGGTGTTCATCATGGAAGGGCTCCTGCCTCTGCCTCTCAAAAAGAGCCCCAGAGTATAGCCAACCACAACACCCCCTGAATTGATCTTAACCACCTTCATCTTTAAAAGCCAGTCTGCACAGAAAGATTTTAGCCTGCCGTTGGAAGGACAGCACGGAGGAATTCCCATCACGTGTGAAATGTGACGTTTTTACCCGTGTCTCCATGAGGAATTTAGAATGAAGTTGATTGCCAATTGACTTTAAAATCATTGGGGAAAACCACACTTTAGAAACAGCGAAATAGTTTAAACAATTGAAACCCATGTCATGTAGCCATTTCTTAAATTATTAGAAATGCTGATTTTATCGCGTGTGATGAAGTCCTAGGTCAACCTATACATACATGGTATACATACATGGTATGTTAATGCATAT